GAGCCTTTTTCTTTCGAGTTCCCTTATTTTAAGCACTGGCAAACCATCTTAATCGCCCTCTATATAAACTCTACTTTCATCTCCAAGCTCTCCCCAACCCATTCCTCGAATATCAATCTTTCTCTCAAGAGCCCCTTTACAATCTCCTTCAACCGCCCGAACCCATCACCAAAAACCAAACGAAAACAGCTTGTTCTCAATATAAGAAGAGAAAAACACCAATATTGATAAGCTTTTATCAATTTTAGAGATGATGAAAAAGGTGGGATACAAGCAAAACTGGGGTGCAGTAGCACCTGCCCCTCTCATTTATCCAAGAAGATCCTCGACTTGTCCAAGGCTAGAGACCATTCATGAAGAAGGGTGTGAATACCATGCAATTTTTTCAAACAAAGTCTTCCTTGTCCTTCCCGTGGTCTTGTCTACGGTTTTCTATTTCTTCCTATACAAGGATGTGACTCTTTGTGCATGAAACCTTCCATTGTTTTTGCTTGAATAGGATTTTGGAAACAATGGCTCTATATGGATGATCTTCAATGTTGTAATTTGCTTTGCTTGAGAGAGGCTTCAAAGCCAAGTTAAGATGTTGGGCTCCATGAGCAGAACCATGGAAATGGACAAGCAAACAACTCAATGCTTAAGGAGAGATCAATGTTCCATAAGTGTATAGCATTGTAATCTGTGAGAATGTGAGATGGGGTAGTGTATTCAAATATTTTGGAAGAATCTTCTTTGGAACGTTCCAATTTTGTAAATCATGTTTTATCCTATCAATGCAATAACCTCTCTCGGTCTCTGGTTTTGAAAGTTTCTGATTTTAAGAGTTTTTACTTTTTCTTTTCTTTTCGTTTATCTTTTCCTTTGTTTGTTGAGAGAGAAAATGAGAGAAATCGCAAGAAAAATCACAGAGAAAATGAAAGAAACTGTCTCAATTCTCGGGTTGAGTTTTTACTTGGTCATTTTGGTCGTTAAGAGTATTTTCTTGAACTTATAACGATTTCTGGTTAACAGGTTGACATATTGAATGCCAATAAACAATAGTTATCATCCACCAATTTATTCCTCTCTTTCTAGTACTAAAGGCATGCAACCACCAAGCCATCAAACCTTAAATCTAATAGAAAGCTTAGTACTATCAATACTGGGGAGGAAAAATGAAGGCAATTACTGAGGTAATAACTAGTGTTTTTAGGGGACTCAAACATAAATGAATTGAACAATTGAAATTGTGGTTATGCTGCTGAATGAAAAACCAAAGAACAAAAGCTTTCAAGCCATATGCCAAGGTTGGTATGTTATTTCTGCTAAACATATGAAAGGTTGGCCTATAACTTCTAAGTTATCTAAAAGTAATACTGCAAAAATTGGGTATCTGATGAACAGGTCCAGATGGTGTAAGGCCAAAGTCACGTACGAGAACCCAGATTATCACCAGTTAATTTTTTTTATTTGTTTTAATTTTCTCCCAATTTGATTTCTCCATTTCAATCGAGTTTGACATGTAGAAGGTTCCTTAAAGCTTGAAGATCATTGGCTGACATGTTCCAACTAGACATTTTCCTATGGCGACACGTCCAATGGTTGCTTCTAGTTCTAGATGCCACTTACAAGTTTTCAGCCCGAGGTTATATGTATGACTTGACTGTCTTGACCTGGTTTTGCTTGGGTTGGAGGTCATTCCAAGTTGCAATATCTAATTTCCATTTCTCTATTTTTATAGTTAAATTAGGAAGGAAACTTTGAATTTGAAATCTCCCATTTTTCAATTGAAAAATGTAATTTGTCTCCATTGCCTAACAGTAGAATTGTTAATTATGGTGCGGAATCTTTTTAGTCTGGTGATTATGACTTATAACCACTGCCATCTTTTAAGAATATGACCTTTAAGATCAAAATTCCCTCTTCTTATGTAAGACAATTGCAACTGTTGTGTTTGATTCTAGTTCTTCTTTTTGCTGCTGATTTAGCTGTTTGTTTTCTCTCTGATCTGCTCCTGTATTTTCTTGGCTTTTGCTTTGTCAATATTTGTTCCTCCTTTATCTGCTCCCTTAGGCGCCCTGTTTTTGTGGCAACAGGAGATTCTCCTGCTCATTTTAGATGAAAATGTTCTAGTATTCCACCGTAAACTGGGTTTTAAAGGCATATAATGTATGTGTGTGTGTGTGTGTGTGTGAGAGAGAGAGAGAGAGAGAGGATATACAATACAATAATGAAACTTGAAACTGTCAACTTTAATATATGAAGTTTACATCTATGGGAGCTAACATGGTCTACATATTGGCTATTTTTTGCCAATTGATTTTTCTTTCGTGTACGCCCATCCTCCAAATTCCTCCCATAGAGGTTTTGATGTTAAGCAATGCATCTATACAACAAAACGTAGAAGGACAAAGAAAGTAAAACAGGAAGAAGAATGAAGACTCTCTTTGGCACTCGTACACCTCCACAATCTTCCTCGGCAATGGTCTCCAATCTGGGAGAACTTGAAGGTTTCTGGTGAGATATCAGAAGGGCTGGTGCTACTTCACCCAAGGTTTGCATGGATCTCACGTCCTTCACCATTTCTGTATAAGAAAAAAAAGGCTTTTGGCAACTCTTTCTTCTGATGCAAAAAGGCGAGTGGAGAAAGACAATGGTGCTGATCAGGAAGCTTGTATTGTTCCTGGGGGAGAATCATTTGTGATGGCTTGGTATATAAAGTTTCATGGGGAGTTATCAAAACAGCAAGCGGTTGATAACAATGTTAACCTATGTCTTGAAATGTATAGGGACAGTTAAATTGCAGAGCGGTGGAAAAGATCATTGCAGACAGCTTCTAAAATTAGGACATCAAAATTTTAATGCAATGAGTTAGAATAGAAAAGAATCTGGTAAAAACAGAACAACTTTAACCAAATTTGCTGGCCGTTCGGATAAAGACAGCATGAAATCGTTGTCAAATAAAGTGGATGAGTGTCCCAAGGGAGAACATGGCTCCATGTATATCCAATGAAAATGATACGCAAATCCCAAACCGATGGTCCAAAATCTTTTGTTACATTTGATTTCAGTTTAGAAAATCAAATCTTAGTAGCTGTTTGAGAGGTGGATGATTTAACAGGACAGTATCTTGTTGTAACGAATTTGGTTTTATAATGTTCTAACAATAAAAAGTGATCTAAGAGCAGCTCCTTCTGATAAAGGATTAATGGGGAAGCATGCAAACAGGAACCCAACGTTTTAGCAACCTTTCTTTTCCTGAAACTTTTATGCTCTTAATAAATTGGACAATGTTAAAACGAGCATTGCAGCAACACAAATGATACTATTTTTATTGCTGAATAATTTATCAACTGCTGTTTTGCTTTGATTAGCAGTAAACACATACCAAGCCTAATTAGTTTCACAGTAATATGAATTGGAATCTGAATCAATATTTAGATACACCTTGAGTGAGAACTTCATAGACAGATGGTAAGGTTGATCATGCAAGTTCAATCCTTCCTCTCGCTCATGGTATTTTGGTTAAGGGCCAAGTGGAATGTCTATCTAGTGCTTACAGAAAAATGATTTCTAAGAAAATTAACTTAAAAAGCTTTGCAGGTGAATTTCCCCCCAAAACATTGTTCAAACAATGTTGGACGCATCAAATATGTCTAAACTGGAAAAAATAAGAGATTAGAGAAAGAAACACAGGAAGAAGAAAGAGTGCCCTATTAGGCAAGACTTTGATGTTGTTGTACCCTTCTTCAACACTGGCCTATCTAGTGCCAGTATCTTCGAGAGCTAATGAAAGATAAGCCTAGAACAAGGGTAACCTTAGATGTGTAGGAAGAGCAGTGAAGGGAAGGAAGAATTGCATTCAGCTAAGAGGAATGAGTGGCTAGGGGACTTTTGAAAAAGTCTTGTGGACAAAGGCAAATTGCCTGAGAACAAGTCAATTACTCAATTAAGAAATATTTGGGTTTTCAAAGTAGAAAACAATTATAGTTTTAGTTGGATTTTGACTCCCAATTTTTAGCATCGATGACCACTACACGTTATCATTGAGGATGGTCATAGAGTAAATTAAAAGTGCTTCCCTAGTCTTTAGCCAGGCATACTTTCTTTTCTTTAACCCATCATTCGACTCTCTTCTCATAAAGCTTCTCATTCAGCAAGATTAATCATTAGTCATCAATATAACTATTTTTTTTTTTTTGAAAATGGGAATTTCATGGAAAACAGAGGGAACAGAGTTCACCATCTGGGTTGTCACAAGAGGGTTCTGGCCTGAAGAACTAAACCACCGCAGAATTCCCATACAGCCACCCCCCCTCCCCCACAAAGTACAAAATCAACACCCATCAACCATCAATATAACTATTAGAAGATCTTGGCTACTATTCAGCTACTTAGGCATTAAAAAGAAATTAGATATACCAGTCACAACTCTTCAATAAATATAAAAGATGAGATGGTAATGGAGTTATTAATGTGGAGTTGTAGATGAGCTACTTATGCTTCATGAGTTCCGATTCCACCATTTTCACTCATAATTCCCTTTGATTTGCAGCGTCGAGATGCTTCAGAATTGGTCTTTTTCATTGGATGAATGAAGGAAAACGCAATTGAAGGAACTTAACAAGTCATATCTGACCCTGTTTAATGTTATGGTGTCTATGGGAATTGCAATGCTTCTAAAATTTATAACTTAGAATTAATAAATTAATCTGAAACTCATGTCAGTTTGATTGATGGGGTGGAGTTTTTGAGTTCAGTAATTAAAGAATGAGAAGATGCAACATATATTTCAAAGCAATTGAACAGCTTTGCTCTTTGTATTTAATTTCTCTCGTTTATTTTAGCATTTCAGGATTGGTAAATTATCATGTCAATGATGTCCTGTAACAAGATCAAAACTCTTTTTCTCCGCAGTAATCACATTGAACTCCAACGAGGAATAAAGGGTTTCTACCATATCAGATTCTTTAATATTTATTTATTTTTTTTTGATTCAAAAAGCAACCAAAATTAAAATATACAGAGAAAAAGAATAGATTTGGAGAATAATTAAAACAAAGGGTCGAAAAAACATATAAAACTCCCACATCAAGCAATGTCTCTATACAACAAAATATAAGAGATAACAGAAAGAAATACAGGAAGAAGAAAGAACACCATTTTCTGTCCAACCTCAAAGTTCAATTCAGACCCCTCTTCAACAATGGTCTCCAATCTTGGAGAAGTAGACGATTTCTTGTAAGAAATAACAAGGGCTGGTGCCTTTTCACATGTTTGCAAGTATCTGATACCGCTCACCATTTCCTCCGGCAATTAGTATATATTTTCTGAAGTCTATTTTCCCCTTTTTTTTCCCTTTTGCTCAATTTCTTCTGCAACCAAAGCCTTGGAGTAGAACAAAATCGTGGCAGCCAAGGATGATTTGTAGTAGAGAAGTTTGAATTTGTTGATGAAAATAGGGGGTTTGGTCAGAGAAGTGGTGAGTTGGTGTGTTGTTATATAGAGGGGAAGCTTGAGAGAAGAAAGGGAAATTGTGGAAGAAGTTTCGTTGCTAATCGAAGCGTGGACAGAAAGCCATGTGACAAACGTTTGAAACTGTCAAAGAGACAGGACAAAGCAAGAAGGTGAACAGTTTTCACAGTTAATTTAGACAGTCCCTCTCACCGAATTTAGCTTTTTACTTTTTTATCCTTTGGTAAATTTAGATTCTTTTACTTTTGGTAAAACAGCGAAAAAAATAAAAAGGTCAGTTGCTAGATGAATGTGAGAAACGTGATAACTCCTCGTTTTCCCTTGAGAATGCAGGGCTCAATATTCAACAATTGGCTACATGTTTTTTTTTTTTGTTTTTTTTTGTCTTTTGATGAATAAATTTTGGGGTTTTGTAGCTTTTAGATTATCGTTTCACAAAATTAAAAAAAATTATTATTTATTGTACCAAAAACAAAATACTATTTTTCAAGTAAAAAAATGAAATTTGAAAAAAAAAATCTAACTGTGCCTTAAATTATAGTAATCCTTTCATGAAACTATTATATACTAACTTCAATTTAAGCTATTAAATTTTTAACTTACACTGCATCGATATAAAAGACTGTACTCTTAAATAATCTGAAAAAGAAATAGTCAAATTATTCAAAAAGTTTCTGTATTATAATGTTTTTGTCAATTTAATAAAAATCGGTCAATTTAATTTATGTACTTTGATATTGAGTGCAATTAGATCTTCTTAACTAACTTTGTCTAAATTGACCATTAATGACATTAATGTGCCTAAATTGTTTGTACAATGTCAAAGTAAACTAAATTAAATCTAAGTTTTAGAAACTATAATTTTTAGGATACATTAGTAATTGGTATATAAGTAAAAGAACTCAAAAAGTCTCTCTAATATAAAATTTTATTCAATTTATTCCATGTACTATAAAATTTTGTTCAATATAATCTTTACACTGTAGAGTTTTGTTCAATTTAATTCATATATTTTGTAATTTGGTGTAATTTGATCCCCATTCAACACAATGAATTTGAATGGAGTTAGTTAAGAGGATCCAATTGCATACAATATCAAAGTACATGATTTAAATTGACAAGAATACGTTAGTATAAGGACTTCTTAAATAGTTTTACCAAAGAAAATTAAAATAAAATTTGAGGCACTCTATTATATGAACAAATAAAAATAAAAACTTTGGCAAGTGCCTTAGCAAAGGCACGCTGCTATTCTTGAATTCACTAACTAAAAAGAACTCGAAAGCCATGCTTTTTCTTCCTCCTCCTTTGACTGAATCATATCCTAGGAATAATGATTTTTTCAGCCTTTTCATCTCCTTCACCCTTATCATAGTGTTTCTATCTCCTTCACTCTTACCATAGTGCTAACTCGAATCCTAAACTCATAATTCTCTTACAACTTTCATCTCTCTTCTTGACTTTGCATCCTTGTTCCTCTTTTTAATCCAATCAAGAAAGATGTTAACTCTGCATGACTCAGCACCCTTGCCCCATTTGAATAATGTGGCACTTTAGCACTCAATGTTATGTTGAGGGGGGGAGGACAAAGAATTTGTCATCTTGATAGAGGTAACAAGCATTTGCCAGTAGCTATGCCAGCCTAAGAAAATGAGACAGTCAATTTGCATGTCATGCTCAATTTGTCCTTCCAAGGACAGTCTAGCTAGCTAGAGACACATCCCATGATGTGTTTCCAAAGGAAGGGACATGTCTGATCATGACATCGATCTTTTTCACCTTGGCTAATCAACATGTAACAATATTTATGCAGCTTTGCACAGCTAGGGCTGTTCGGGCATGAAGTAGGCAAATCTTCATGAGCTGCCTTTTGGAAAAAGAAAGAAAGAACACAAGATTTGTCATTGATCAAATGTTACCCTACAGACAGAACATTGCTCTCTAGCAGAAATTTGGTTTGTTGTCACATTGTTCGATTTCAGGTTTTTGATATAATCATCAGAAAATTATTACTAAAGTTTCTCCTTTTTGGCCAAATGCTCAATCTGGTTTGGAGTTTCTAACAAGCAAATTGAAGTAGGAAGTATTAGTCATATGAATTTTGTAATACATTCTTGATTTTAGTATTACCAATTGAAACAGCATAATAAGTTTGCACAATTTTTTTTTTAATGATGGCTTATGAAAGTTGGAGGACAACATAAATTGAGATGTTGGACCCCTGCAAGCTGTAGGCTGTAGGCTGTAATTCTGTTGTTTGATGGCAGAGGGAAAGGGCAACTGCATCATCATTGAATTTCAAGATATTTCTTAAGACAGACTTCCACATCACGCTGCATTCCTGGGTAACGTATTTCTTGGAAAAATTTTACAAGAGTGAAGAAGAAGTGGAAACTTAATTTTCAATATGTAACTTAACAGGTGTCTTTAAGTTAAATGTGCACAAAAGAAACTACCCAAAATGCCATGAGACAGGGATCGAAGATAATAGTTGCAGACATCGGATTGCATCAGGGGTAACTTTAGTCTGACGAGGCTTTTTCCTTTTGAAGCTAAGGCCAAGGGAGTGCAGATTAGGTGTTATTTTGTCAAACTCAAAACACATTGGTTTAAGATTAACTTCAAGGGGTAAAAATTAACATGTCCTGAATTCAATTTTTCATTACAAGCAGAACTTGGAAAAATACTACAACATTCCTTATTTGCTTAAAAGATCAAAATAACCCATTTTTCAGTGTGACATAACTTAAGTCTTATAGGCTTTTGACTTCGTGCTCAGATAGTTATTGAACTGATGATGATGGTCTTACATTTCTGACATGGGGACTTCACTGGTAATGATTTTTTCTTTTTCTTTTGGATAATGGAAATTTCTATATATCCAAACAAATCAGGATAATCTAGCAGCAAAAAGGTTAAGGATAATGAACAAGTTACTGACGGCCAAATTAACTGCTGTTACAATCAATTAGGTAAAATCACTTCATTTGGTCCCCAGTGCTGACACAATATTCTGTTGGCGGGTTCATCTTCTAAACTGTCAAGCTTTATCTCGACTGCATCAGCTGATCCCCAATGGCTATGGTAGATTTAGGCGCTTTGCCAATCTTCATGAACATGGCCTACTGCAAACCTGATTTCACTTTCTATAATTTCCCTCCTTCTTGCACTAAGTAATATGTTACGTTGCAAGCTGCTGAGTGCTCCTACGTACATAACCAGAGAAGTCTATGGATTAGAAGATTGGTACCCCTCAATAACACACTGCTTCACAAAAGAAAAGACAAGGTTTGAAGGATTCCTCCAGGGCGTGGACAAAAGAAACTTTCTCCTCATGCTGCAGCGGAGCACATGCAGCAGGACTAAACTTTATTCAAATGCCAGTGATAATGTTCCATGACCACGAGCAAAGCATGGTTATAAAAAGATAGAAGAGACAGAAAATTCTTCGAACAAGAAGAGTCAATTACAATCCATTATTTACTTATTAATACTTGGTTTGCCCACATGCTTAGACATATAAGGAGCCAACGATTGATAAAGCTTGTTGGCTGAACAGCAAGAGTCTCCTAACTTCTGACAAGTATATGTTACAAAAATTTCTCCTCAACAAAATAAACCATGATTTAAGATTAAAAAAAAAACATTCATGGATTACATCAGATGTTTGTTCAAGTTATGAACATCTCTAAGCACACTTGCAATTGTGACTATATGACGGTAGGGGCTTCTTCACTTCTAAGCAACAAGTGGATAAAAAAGGTGTCGGTGAATTCTGTGACACCTCCATGCTTTCCTCTTCATTTTCTTCTTCATGAATGGTTGCCAATGTTATTTGGATATTGAGCCTGGCCACGGTAAAACGAGCAGGCACGACGGCAGAGAAGGGAGTGAGGGGCGGAGTGACTACTGGACTCTCAGCCTTGGGAGGGCAGAGTGTTTCTTGGAGAGTGGTTACTGAAAAGATATCAGCCATGGGAAACTTTTTTGTATGGAGGCTTTCCGAATGAACTTTTTTGGATGAGAGGTGATGTCAACAGATGTGGCACTCTACGATTGATTTATATAGAAGTAGTAATGGTTACAGTGCCCCTGGATTTTCGGATAACTACATTAATGCCATTGAAAATTTGAGAGGCGGTGGCTTTTACGAGTTAGCTGGTTTGCAATGGAGCCATTAATGTAATGGCGTAATTTGTATTGTTCTTCCTCCATTTTTCATTTCTACCAATACAATTAGAGCTTGGCTTGTGGTCTTTGGGTTTTCATGCAGCCTGACAAAGACAACGATAAGTGTGGATTCTTGTAACTTTTTTTCGAGAAGGAAAATGAAACTTCTTGAAATGTCAGTATTTTCCTAGTATGAAAAGGGCTAAAGCTTTGGGTGTCCTTACTTACCTATTCAAGTTAAGTCCAACAATCTTTATAGATGCAAAGAATGTGGTTATAGTTAATCAGAAATGTGTAGAGAAGGGGTAAGAATATCAGCTTAGAGAAAATGGAACATGAAAATAGAGAAAGAGGTCAAACTCGATCAGGAATATCACTTTACTTAGAAAAAATTGGATCCCTGTTTTGACCAAGTGATGAAAAGGAAAACAAAGATATACACAACTGGCACACTCAAGTATAAGATTCACACATCAAACCATACTTTGTCAACAATTTCATAAACTAGAATGCTAAATAAAACCCCAATGTTCTTATTTTATGGATAATCCTCTTCTTTAAGGAATGAAAGCAAGTAGCTAGGTGACAAACTCCAATGATTACAGGACCTAAATCAAAGAAACATTCCCCGTGCTTTCATGGTTTTGGTTAGAATTAATATTGGATAAAGAAGACTGACTTCCACACTTCTACTCCATTTGGTATGCCTTAGATTAAAAGGCATTGGCAAGTGTTAGAAACATAATCAACGGTCGATCTGCAAAAAGCGTCGGCAACTAAAAAGAAAAAGGAGTAGTTTGCTTTCTGAATTAAATGCAGGATTTGGCGGTATGCGCTTTTTTCAGTGACATTTCTTTGGATTTGGCAATAGGTCTTTGTCAAATTCTTGAGGGCGGCTTCCCTCTCTTCCTGACTGATTGCAACCTTCTGTTTCGTCCCCATTGACGCTAAGGCCGCCCCCTCCCCATCAAGGGGGGATCAACCCAGAATTTCAAATCGTCATTTCGATTCTTCAAGATTGTTTTGCCTTTGAATATATTTGGCGTTTTGCTTTCATTGTTTGCCCTGATAGACACGGTGCATGTGATGCCTGTCACGCGTTTTCAAAGTGAAACATGCAATTGCAATGCAGCAGCCTTAGCCTTGATGGTGTGTTGTCCATGGCTGAGATGAGGAGGTTGTGGAGCCCAGGTTTTGTTTCTTCTTTCTCCCCATTCTGCTATTGGAACCCAGTAAAAGAGTGATGCACCACATGATCAATGCTTTTAACGAATTAAATTTCTCCTCCATGATCGTGAGCTTACTCGTATATGTTTAGCAGCAAAAAACCTTTCTGCAGATTAATTGAATGGCCACTCATTGTGATCATCTTTTACATGTGTTCACGTCTTCAACATCATACACCAACCTCTCCTTCATGATTGAATAGGAATTGAATCCAGTTTGTTTTTCCTTGTAATTTACGTTTAATTCTCATGTGTTTTTCCTTCTCTCTTTTACGTATGTGTTTGTCCTCCCATTTCTGGCTTACGCCCTTCTCTCATTTTCTGTTAGCATTACAATTTTTTTTTAAAAACTGATCACTGAACTAAGCCGTAATTCACATGTTGAATTTTGGAGGCAAATAACGGAGAACATATCCTTTACGTTCGAAGAAACGAGAAGTTTAGAATTTAGACAGAACCTTTGCATGAGCAATGATATTATTACATCCTCTTAAAACAATTTTTTTCTTCAGTCACACGGTTGAACTCCATTTATGCTTTCTATGTAGTACCTCCATGAGTCTTAAACATACAGGGCCATGAACTGAGAACTCTTTGAACCATACAATGTCATATCCATCCCAGCAATTCGATCTTCAAAAATTTGCCGCACAACTTGCACATTTCCATTTTCTTTTATTATCTCGTTCCGATCATCTCGCCCATAATTGATCGAGCCAAATGAAGGAAAACCCACAGCCGGTCCTTCTCCTTGAGTCAAACAAAAGTGTTAAAAGGAAGACAAAACTAGAAAAGTTGGAGATGAACCTTATTAGAAGACTGAAAAGGCTACTCTTGTCGCCATCTTCATTACCTCATGAACAGAGCATGATGATCAACATCATCATCCTAATCGTTGTCCTCACTCATTACCATCGTCATGTGCACCTAGTTAGGACCATTTTTCCTCCACATGAAATACTAGGCTTGATGGGGCTCTTTGTGAGTGTGTGTGCCAAGTGACGAATGGCATACACTTTATGACAAAGTTTATACTAGTTGTTTCTTCGTGATTTACTCAATTAAATAATATGATCATTTCAATAATGAGTGACACTAAATACTATTAGTTTTTCTTATTTGTGATCACATGATCAAACCACCCTTAATACCTATGGTATAAATTATATATTTATATATATAAATTAAGAAATTAAGGTCAAATTTTTCATTATACTATTGGTCAATATCAAATTTTGTCAGTTTAATCCTAAATAGCAAGAAAAAATTCAACATAAAATTAAGGGAAAAAAATCATATAAGTGAGACTTGAAGTGCCGATGACTTCTAAGATTTATCCTTTTTCTTTTCCTTGCCCTGAGAAAAGAAAAACCCTGCAAGTATAGGGAGATGTGTTTGCCCTTTAAGGCTTTAAACCTATACTCATTCATAGCACACAGCACAGTCGCTTTCCATTCTTGCTGTCCTAATGTATATCACGCATCAATCCCGGCCGATGCTCCATGTGAAAGAACTAAACCAAGCACATAAAGAAGAACCAAAGTAAGAAATTAATTAAGACACTCCAGAAGATTTCAACTAAAAGTAATTCCAACCAGACCTAAGATGTGGACCTTTAACTGCTAGCTAGAAAAGCGAAGGGACTGTTCATGGCATGAATAAAAGGCTAACTTGCCAATGCTTTAGACACACTTTAGTAACGGATGGCATTTTCTCAACCAAAACCATTCAAATTTATGCCATAATTTGAATGATTGTAATGTAACGTCATTCCGTAGTTGCAATATTGAGTCCTCATTATCACCTAGTACCAAAACAACTGGCTTTTTGGTTCAATGCACGTGAACTGTTTGGACCACAAGAAAATTCACTTGTAAGAAGGAATGGCTTTGAAACTGAGTTAATGTTCTATATTTTCGTTGCTTTGTACGGTTTGGGTTTTACGGTGCCTAGATAAACATCAGAAGATAAAGCTTTAGGCGTGTCACTCTATTGACGCAAATTAATGGGTCAAGAGAAGTTGGCTGTACTGTTTTGTTGCTTTGGGTCCTGAATTCAGAACTCGGAGTCATATTTTCAAGGTCTCTTTCTATTCAAAACTCATTTTTTTCAAGATGTTCTTCTCATATATAAGATATTTTTGAAAATAAATCTCTTTAAAATTTTTATTATTTTTAGTTAAGATAAATTAATTTTAGATAAAATCATACCTAATGAAATCAGTTCATATGAGTAGGTCCGTGTTTTAAACCGACTCATATCTTTGAGCTTTCCTCATGATACTATTCATCTCTAAAGTATTCTTTATCAGAAAAAAAACATTTAAACATTTTGAGTATTTTAGAGTAATTTTTGATACATAAAAAAAAATCTTTGAGCATTTTGAATGTTTTTAAGCATTTTGAAGTTTTTTTTTATACATAAAGAAAAACTTTTGAGTATTTTGAACATTTTTCATCAAGTAGGTATATTCGTTAATTATGTTAAGTGAAATATGGTGTATCATTAAATGGAATTAAGTAATTTGGGTGGTTTTTTAGCATTGTGTAATCAATTTTTGGATATTATATGACTAGTTTTTAAGTATTACGTTATTAATCTTCAAGCATTACGTGACTAGTTTTTAGGTATTGCATGACTGGTTGATATGGCATTGCGTGAATGGTTGATAGGTATTGCGTAACTAATTAGTGAAGTATTGCGTGACTAATTAATAAGGCATCGTGTGACTTAGATATTGTCTAAAAATCAGTCACATAATGCCTAAAAATCAGTTACACAATGTCTAAAACCACTCACGCAATGATTAAGTCACATAATGCCTAAAAATTATTCTCGTAATACTTAAAAACTAGTGCCACAATACTTAAAAACCAGTAATGTAATATCTAATAACTAATTGATTTGCCTTCTCGCAACTAAGTTTAAGTTGCCAAAATCATACGGTGTTACAAATATGTTTAATCAATTTCAACTCCTCATTTTTGGAGTTCTGTGAATAAACCAATAAACCCAATAACATAAAACAATTTTTTTTTTTGCTAAGCCATGAAATTGTGCATTTCATAAAAGAGATATTACAAAATTTCATAACCCTCCAAAGCAAAACAAAATATACTCTTTTTATAAAATATTTTTTGAACAATTTCAATACAAAATCTCATAAAAAGAAACAAAATTCTCAACAAACATGCTTAACAATCATCATCTTAGACACAATAAAATTATGAACCACTATAAAATCCATCAAACATACTGTAACTATTCCTTCTTCTAAGCCCTAGTACACGTTTTGAAACAAGTTATCATTAAAAAACATTTAATTACCATATTCATCATGCTAACTACCCTTAATAACCTAAGATCCACTATTTAAAAAAATAAAATAAAATAACAAAGAGTTTAATGTCATTTTTACTTTTTAAGATAACAAACTACTTTTTTGAACAGTAAGAAATAGCTGGATGATGAGATAAACAGTATTTAGCAAAAGATAAAAATTAAAATTTAATTTTGAAATTTTTATCTGCATGGAGAGATAGAGAAAATCAAAACTATTTTAATTTATTTAAAATTATTTAAAAATATTATTATCAAATTACATCCAAAGTTAATTAAAAATAATTCAAATTATAATAAATGATCTTTTTTAATTAAGTTTATAAAAAAATTATTTTTCACGATTTTTTTTTTCAAGTTCGATCATTGATGATAGGGCGGCCGGCTGCATTTGCCCTGACAGGTTGCAGCCCTTTTTCGCCTTTTTAGTACGGGTCAAGATTAATTGCAAAGGTCCGTATTTGGAGAATGCTGAAACGGATGTATTAGGCGTTTTGCTTTCAGTTGTTGCCCTGAGAGATACGGCGCATGTGGCACAAGACAGCGATGGCTGCAGTAATTTGAGAAGCAGCAGCAGATCAAGAGAAGAGCTCCATCTGCAATCAGGTTTCGCTTGAGAATTCTTCAACCTCCAAGTTTTCTATGAGATGATGAGACTATGGAGTTGGACCCCAAACCATGAGGAAAGTACCTTAAAGTCATTTTTCTCGATATATCTTTACCAGAATGGAGATAGAATCAAATTACTTTGTACGGATTATTGCTAGAGAACGTTTATTGAAAGTCTACCCTTTAAGAAGAAATTGAAAACACATCTTTGTCTAACCCAAAAATAATACCAAATCAAATAAGAACTTTTTTTCATTTTTGATTAAACCAGGTGAAACATTTCTATTTAAGTGACCCATTGAGGTGAGACAAATTGATAAATGTAATAGATATTCGAGCAACACAATGAATTTTTGTTAATATATGTCTCACATTAAATATTTTCCTAACGTATAATAACTAAATAAGATATCATCCCTAAAACTAAGAACGAAATTCTTTTAATTTCGAACCTCCTAGTTACCATTAGTTTTTTCCTTCATACAGAGTAAGGAACAAAGTAACATTCTAGTAACAAACCGAGTTACACTATATGTCACACGTCGTGGTTTCGAGACCTCGAGTAGGGGCCATGATAAGTGCAACTTAATCGAATCATCACTCCCATGGCTCAAAGCACTTCTCTTAGCTAAATTTAAGATTTAAGACACAACTTACAAAGCAATTTCAGTGAGACTGCCTGTCCAAAAGATGTATGGATGCACCAAACCAAACTGGCATAAATCACTGAGTCAACAAATGTAAAACAACAATCTTGACACAAATCGTACTACTTGCATTCATATACTTGAGATGTGTCCTTACAAGCACACATTAAACTGTGTATAGTTTTAAATAAGCATCCTAAAGCAAAGAGAAACTGCATTATACAGCCAAAGGCATTCATTGGTACTCTAGAAACAAAGCTTCAGAAAAGTACAGCTTGATATATCTAATCAATTCAATACTTTGGAGGTGGCTGCTGGGTTGGCAACAAACCAAATCGTTTCTTCAAAAGAACTCTTTGTCTCGAATATTTGTCATCAGGGGAGAAACGTGCTGCATGAATTTTAGTAAAAGGGAAAAAATAATTTTCATTAGAAACCATAACAAAAACCTTTCAATAACATTCCCATGCAACTTTCCCAAAAACTGTCTTGATTCTATTAAAAAATTTGACAAAAAAAGAAAATAAATCCTACAACAGCCTAACATGTACTGAAGCAAATGTTATCATTCATTACAGTTGAGTGCCATAGATTACACAGTATAGTACCCACTTGTCAATCAAATGAAGACTGAGCAACAGATAGCAAATGACCATGTAGTCAGAACACCACTAATTATCCACCAAAATGAACTTATTCTATTGATTTTACACATCAAAACAAACAAAGCAAAGTTCCTATGAAAGCAGCTTACAGAAGGAATTTACATAGGTAAGTAGCCATATGAATTTCTTCAGTTGCCACAATAAAGACCAGGTCAAACATAAAATGTGCAAGAAATTCTTAAAAAAAGGACACTCAATCAGGAAGTCCATCAAGATAAACACAAATGGCCAAAAAGCTATGAAAGTGCTAATCAGAGTATGCCAGAAATGATCTAAATGCATCAGGCCGTATTACCTGGATGAGCAGACTGAGTAGGCATCCCTACTGGTGATTCTTTCTGCACACAAAATCCATACAAATGTAAATATGGAAAGAAAAAAAGCAACAAAAATATTGATTACACATAAATTAGAAACCTAAAAAATTGCTAGAACGAGTTAAAATAAGATGAAAGCCAGTATGGCTTGACTGCAGGAAAGAGATTAAAATCTAATCCTAGTCTCAACTCTCACAATTAAATGCATTTCTCAGGATAGTACAAGTTAATCAGCCATCAACTCCCTCAATTATGAGGACCAAAAAAAATCCTACCAAGAACATAAAGCTGTTGACATTCCAAAGAAAGAAACTCAGCTATAGCACAAAGTTTTGGAGCAACCTAAGCTTAAAACTCAGCTTTGAAATTTTAAAAAGAAAAAACAAAAAAGGGTTATAAGTTCCACAGTGTGCAGTAGGTTTTAGTTTCATTGCATACAAGGTTGTCCTTTTCACTGTCTCAATCACCTTAAACAAAACATAAAACTTATGGAACTAACAGAAACCTGAGATGATTTGTAGTTTTAACTAATTATCAATAAATAAGATGGGTTTCTACCTTAGTGGTGTAAACTTTGTCACCATTCTCATTTATGTAGAACTGGAGATACATCTTATCCAAAGAAAAGGAATAGCAACTGTAAAAAGCGAGAAAGATTAGAACTTCAATACAATTAAAAGAAACCCAGAAAGAAAAAACCAAGCAGAAGAAGAAAATCGTGAATTTGTGATGAGAGCCGCACCTTCTCTACCGGGGCTTGGAGAAGCAAAGAAGCAGAGAGAAGGACAAATGGTCAAATTTTAGGGTTTTAGGGTTTTAGACTTTAGAGGAAGGGAGTGATGATGGGCCATTGGGTTCTTAAGAACAAGTTATCCTTGAAATTGGGCCAATACTTGAAACAATCAAATCCTAATTCGAGATGGGCCCAAATACATTCTCAACATTTTATATCCGACGGTGGAGATTTTGGGATCTCTATAGCTCACCATACATACTTTTTTGCCTATTTTTTATTTTATTTTCTTTACCAAAAACACCCCTGGAATACGGTGACATTGACTGTTTTATTTATTTAACAAAATATATTCAATTTCTGAGTTCACATGCATCTAACCGTTAATGTTAAAATATTCAATCCAATTAAAATTTAAATAAACATATAATACTGGAACTTGAATCCAAATTAAAAATAAGAAATTATTTTAAAATAATTTATTTATATTGTTAACTCAAATTAAATTAGTCAATTAAAGTTTAGAATCATTTGTAGAACACTGAATCAATTTTTAATACATATTATATTAATTTTAAGTAATTTTATAAACAAAAAAATAAATAAAACTAAAATTTAATATTAAAAAATATTATTTATAATCAAATTTAAACAGTAAGTATCATATGATCATTATTCGAACCTATGACGAATAATAATTTTACTATCCAAAGTCTACTTGAATCTAATTATAGAATACTCTAATTCTATTTAATAGATCAAATAAAATGACCTACTTGATTATAAAGTACTTATTATTGTCCCTAGTTAGGTTTTAAATAGGATTTTGTGGTTTAAACATGCAGTGTATTGGATTTTTCTTAATGTTGCTTCTTATTCCTTCTTCCTCTTCATTTCTTGTACCATCAATCTCATATATATATAAAATATGGGTCTGTCTTGAAAATTAAGTAATAGAACTAGGATTGAAGAATTAAGTGTTTTTTTTGCGTATAGAGAAACATACACGTAACGCAAAATATATGATCGAGATCTCTTCAATGATGCATGCCAATGAGTTTCCAGCCAACCATAATGGACCTTTCCTTGAACAGCCATGCAAAGATTTTCAAGAAATTTCATTTGTCTATATGAACCTCAGAAAACCAGTTTGCCCGGCCTTCTTTCTTCACCCCACATATGGAAGGGGCCAAATTAGGACCTGTCCATCCATGTTCAATGGCCAAAAATCAACTGACAGATGGCACACTGCCGGTTGGTGCCGGTTGAGCTCAGAAAAGTGTAACTTTGGAAGCTGTCGATCCGAACAAATTCCATATCCGTAGAGATAATCTCAGTTTTCCATCCAGGCTTTGACACATAAAGGGGAAATGTCCCACACTGTAGTTATCTCTTGGAGCTTGTATTGGAAACGTCAACCATCAGACTTTTTGCACATTAATATCAATAGTAAGTGGCGGCACTAGGAGTTAAATTTGATCTAGAGCCATTGAATAGGACCACTGACTCAATTTAAGCCTGACCATGCTTTTATAAATCTCACCCGTGCCTTTGAGCTCCTGCACATCCAATGCCGAAGGTGTTTCCCCCATTGACTCCTGCGCGCTCCCTCTTTGGGGTTTCCATGCTTCAGCCTTCTCCTTCTTCCTGAGCTACTAGACATGGCCAATTCGCGTCTCACGAGGTTCGTTATGGAGGTTGCTCCACCTAAGTTTGTTACTGTCATGAGGCACAGAACACGAAAGATGTTGGACACCATCAGTGAAGAGGATAGAGATGGTAGTAACAATGATTCTCTTTCTCCTACTTCCAGGAGCTCACCAACCTCAGTCCCTGTGGGTGCTATGGCTGCTGCTGCTGCTTCCTCTTCCGCCACTGCTGTGACGGCAAACTCCAAGTATTTTCTCAAAGGAATGTCGAGTTTTTCAATTTTCACCGACTAGAATGGCTTGCTTTTGGTTTATTGAAGATGCATCGATGTTCTCCAGTTTTCTTTGTTTTTTCCTTTGTTCAACTAACAGAGTCCGGGGGATTGGCCTTAATGACCAAGACTTTGCTGAGACTTTTGTAGGTCCACCTGTACGTACTTGGTAATGTAACCAATGTTATGATGGGCTGTGTTGACTAGAGCGTTTCAAGTTGTAAAGAGTTGGACATTTTCATGAATAAAAACATCAAGTTGATACATTAGCCTCGATACTAGACTTTATCAGCTGGAACCAGTGAGTTGTGCATTTGCATGGATAAAAACATCAAGTTAATACATTAGCCTCGATACTAGACTTTATCATCTGGAACCAGTGAGTTGTGCAGATTCAGTTGTCCTGAATTCTTAATGCCTATCAATTCAATAAAAGGTTTCCATATCCACCGGTGGAACCAGCTAAGAAGGCATCAAGCCTGGAACCGAAATCATAATCCTTGAGATATGAAGAACCAGCTCGGTGAACAGTAATTTCGTGCATGCACACAGGCAGTTCATGTCCTGATGGACTTCTTTGTATGATTTCAGAGAAGGTCCCAAACCCAAGGCATAAATATACAGGTTCCTTAAGATACGGGGAATCTAACCAAGCACCACCTGACATGGATGACTCTAAACATGTAACCAGTATTCTACATTCTAATGATTGCATTATATGAATTGAAAAAGCATGTTTTAACTAAGACAGGATGAATTAGTTTCGACTTCTTCAGCATGTTCTCAATACAATCCATGATCATAACTCTAGAATATCTGTACTGGAGTTATCTCATGGTTTCAGTCTATTCCGTGACTATGAGTTGAAATACAATTCAGTATAACAGTATTCCATATAACTGCATGAGTATGACTGAACTTTGTTAGCAGCATGAACTTCCCTGAGCCCTCAAAATTTCATCCTTTTTGCACCAGATTTAGATCTGTGTAATAGTTCCGCTTTCAGCTTTTGGTATGCAAAAGTATCACCCAGCTTCCATACACCAAACTAAGGTCTTGGAAAAAGTAATCTGAGCTTATCAGCAAAAGTTATCAGTAAGATGCCCTAGCACTCGAGCATGGGAACATGACATTTTGGCTTCATGTCAAGCAATGCCCCTTTCCATCTAGAAAATTGAACTATGGTGTACAAGAACTTCTTGCCTCAGCAGCAATAGATCAGCCCTTCTGATGGTCTGGTTTTTTGCTCTTGCTCAGTCTTGAAAACTTGGAACCAATTTTCCTCTTCCTAGATGCTTCTGATTCAACTGTCTCTTTCAGTTTTCCTAGGGCTGATGCATTAAAAACAATGAAAAGCTTCAGTAACCCTATTTCAAATTTCTATTGTGCAAAAGGGGATATGATGCAGGCGCATCAAGAATTTTATTTTATTTAGTATTTTCGTTAGCTTAGGATTTTATTTTCTTTATTTTATTTAGTTTGAAGTTCTTTTTCCTATCTTTATTAGAATTTTAATACTTTAAGTCTTTATTTAGGATTAGGATTACTATTTGATTAGGATTTATCTTAACTATTATAAATAGGTGATCTTAGATAGAAGACTTTATTATCATCTTTTGTTATTTTGAATATTTATTCAAGAGATTTCTTTTAAAAAACCTAATTATCTTTCTATTGTTCCAACACAATCAACCCTATTCTAGCCTAATTGAGTCTAATTGCCTTAAATCTTTTGACTACATCAAGTGGTATCGGAGCAAACGATCCTACTATTTTCTTAGATAGGAAACTATGGTTGGCGAATTAGAGGCAATCAACCCCAACAAGCTAAGTTGGCAGAGATGCAGAGAATGATTGATGACTTGACCCAGGCTGTGCAAGCCTTGCAGCGTCAGGAACCAATGGAAGCCCGAATGGAGAATCCGGAAGGTGACCACAACCCCCTTGAGATTCAAGATCTTGAGGATGATGATGAATTTGGGTACTGCACTTCAATGGTGGAAGATACGTGCACGATAAGGGAAGCTTAAAATCAGCATTTGGGATCACATGAAAAGTAAATTACGAAAGCAATTTTTACCTACTGATTATACTATAGAATTATATGAAAGGTTTCATTGTTTGAAGCAAAATAACATGACAGTTGAAGAGTATACATCGGAGTTTAATAACCTATCAATTCGGGTTGGGTTAGCTGAGAGTAATGAACAAATTGCTTCTCGTTATCTTGCTGGTTTTTGAATCATTCTATTAGAGACGAGATGGGAGTAGTTCGTTTATACAACATTGAAGATGCTCATCAATATGCTCTATCAGCGTAAAAACGAGTTTTACGCTATGGTACTAGAAAGCCCTTATACGACACCAATTGGCAAAACGATTCTGGAGCTCGACAGGGTTACCAAACATCCCCACAAAATTATCGAGAAGCTATCACAACCAATAAAACTAATGGGGGTGCAACCAATGTTGAAAGGAACGATAAGGCAAGAGTATAATACCTTATGGTGGACAAAACAATTTTGGTTCTTCTACAAATAAAGGAGGCAGCAATTCCCATATTCGATGTTTTACTTGGGGGGAGAAGGGACACACTTCTTTTACTTGCCTAAAAAGAAGGGTGAACTTAGCTGAATTTAGGGAGGAATTAGAACCCATTTATGATAAATATGATGAAAAAATACAAGAAATTGATTAGTATCCTGCACAAGGTGAGTCATTAGTGGTACGAAGAGTGATGACAACAACAGTAAATGAGGAAGCAGAAGATTGGAGGAGGTGAAGTATTTTTTGCATCCGAGCTATTTGTGAAGGTAAAGTATGTGATCTTGTCATTGACGGAGGAAGCATGGAAAATATTATTTCAA